TTGTTGTTGTTGTTGTTGTTGTTGTTGTTGTTGTTGTTGTTGTTGTTGTTGTTGTTGTTGTTGTTGTTGTTGTTGTTGTTGTTGTTGTTGTTGTTGTTGTTGTTGTTGTTGTTGTTGTTGTTGTTGTTGTTGTTGTTGTTGTTGTTGTTGTTGTTGTTGTTGTTGTTGTTGTTGTTGTTGTTGTTGTTGTTGTTGTTGTTGTTGTTGTTGTTGTTGTTGTTGTTGTTGTTGTTGTTGTTGTTGTTGTTGTTGTTGTTGTTGTTGTTGTTGTTGTTGTTGTTGTTGTTGTTGTTGTTGTTGTTGTTGTTGTTGTTGTTGTTGTTGTTGTTGTTGTTGTTGTTGTTGTTGTTGTTGTTGTTGTTGTTGTTGTTGTTGTTGTTGTTGTTGTTGTTGTTGTTGTTGTTGTTGTTGTTGTTGTTGTTGTTGTTGTTGTTGTTGTTGTTGTTGTTGTTGTTGTTGTTGTTGTTGTTGTCATCTATAATTTATACACTTAACCTCCTTGTGGTTCGACCCCGGTCTTGCCGGGTTATTTTTTACTTCGACACTCCTGCACTTGGGAGAAGACATCAATCTTTTAGTCGTGTCAATAACTATGTGTTGATATATTGAGCACAAAAAAAAAGATTTATTAATATCTTGTTTAAGAGGTATTGAACATATATATAAATTTAATTAGAGTTTGTTTATCTGGATAGATTAATGAAAGTTGAATGGTGAATACCTTACTTTGTGGAATTTACAAATAACCATTGAAAAATGTTAATCAAGATACGTCTCAAAAGTCAATAAAATTTCTTCTTACTTTGTCATCTTAATAACTACAGTTTGCAAATAGTTTATGAAATAGAAAACACAGTTAGATTTTTTTTAAATATCAACTAGTCATCGCAAGGATTTTTTTAATTATTATTACTTTTTATTCAATAAATTATATTTTTATGATAAAAAAAAATTTTGTTTTTCAAAAAATAAATTACATGAATTGAAAAAGGAGGTTCTAACAAAAAAAAAAATTTCTTCATAACTGTATTTGTCTTTCACGTGAATTTTTTTTAATATCATGTTAAATAATAAATTTCTAAAAGATTTTGATGACAACACGTGAGCATTATATTATTTTATTTTTTTGATATATTCATGAATGATCAAAACCTTTTTTTAAAATAGAAACTTTTTTTTACTAAAACTTACTTTTAAGGTTCTCTTAAACTATTTTGTTTTTTTTTTTCAAAACAATCATTCTAGTAAAAGATGTCAATAAATCGAGTGCATTAATAAGATGAATAAGTTTTAATTAACGAGATATTTTTTTATCCTCATTTTAAAATTTTAAAATATATTTTTTTATCCTTATTTTAAAATTTTCAAATGTTTTTTGGATATTAATTATAATTGTTCTAAGTATTTATTGAATAAACAATAAAGCTTAGAAAGCTAATAAATAAGGAAGGAATTATAATAGAAAATCATTTTATTTTATTTTATGAAATTTAAAATTATTATTACAAAAAACAAAATCTAGATTGTCAAATAATCAAATAAAAAGTTAAAGAGCTCCTTATGATATAAGATAAAATATCTTACTTTATATTTATCTCTTAACCTCCTTACTTTATCTTTAGTTAATATTAACATTTATTTTATTTATTTATTAGAGTATATAATATTTTTATTTATTAAATGCAATTATCAACGTTTCGATTCATGATTAAATTTTTTTCATATTATAAAATGCATTGACAACATTCACATGTTTTTTAGGGTAAATTTGTTTTAATATGATTCATAGCAAAAAAAAAAAAATTGGATTCGAGGAAACCCTACTTTTTGGAAAGCGCATTTTGTGAGCCCAAATGAGTAAATAAAACCTCGGCTGTTCTAGGCTCTTACAATAGGTGCATACCTTGACTCAAACTCGAAATCTACTGTACAGATCTCAAACCTTTTGCCATCACACTGCACCCCCTAGGGACGATTCATAGCAAAATGCAGTTCACCAATTAGCACAAATGACACCGCAAATTAGAAATTTTTATGGTGCTTAAGTATTAACTAGTGATATCTCATTAATTACTTTGTAGGATCCATTTTAAAAACAAAGACATAAATAAAAATAAGAGAGAATATAAAATTCATGACCCGTAAAAAAAAATATCTCAATTTATCTCTCCTAGTTGCATTTTTTTTAAATGAATTTTAGAGAATATCTAATATAATATTACTAGTTATTTGTTGAGCTCCATGGAATTACTCAAGCAAACCTATTTTCATCTTATAAAATCATTTTTTATCACTTAATGCACCTTAGATGATATTATACCCTTCAACCCTTCGCTTGAAGTAGGTTGAAGACCCAATTATTTAGAGCTCATTTGTTATTGTGGTAGTGATTGCTTTTCAAACTACTTGCAGTTTGGAAATGTATCGAATTTTTTTTATTTTTTAAAATTTATTTTTAATATTAGCACATTAAAATAATCGACAAACATTAAAAAACTTAATTCAAAGCACACAAATAAAAAAGTAAGTGTTTTTTAAACATAAAAATAAATAGGCTTTTAATGCATGAGCTTATGCATGGAAAATCGATTGTTGGCTTTTATTTCAAAATATTGAATTTTTTTTTATAAAGTTAGGTACATCTCAAAATCACACTAAAACTTTCTTGGGGTTGAATTCACCATTCTTTCATAAGGAAGTTCTTTATAAAAAAAACACTAGCATGTTGACTTGCGTTTTACAATGGATCAATATCACTTTTTAAAAAATATTAAAAAAAAACAATTAAGAGCATATAGAATGTTTTAAGTTCATTGGATCTGACGGCTATGCCAGGCCCAACAAACTTGGGTACCCAAGTATACTTGAATAATAATAATAATAATAATACTAACAACAACAACAACAATAATAAAAATATGCTTGACCCAAGTTTACTTGGACCTAGTAACAATGTCAGACCCAAGACCTAAAAGCTTTGGGTTCAGTAAGCATATCAAGCCCAATAAACTTGGGTAACCAAGTTTACTTGAATAATAATAACAACAACAACAACATACTAATAGTTAATTGTGATTGTGATTGTGATATTAATAATAACAATGATAGTAGTAGTAATAATAATAAGAATAATAATAATAATAATCATGTTAATACTACTACTACCTACGTTTTTCGTAGATTTCAAGTTCTCTTTTATATGGTGCTGCATTCTCATAAAGCCAATCATTTTCTGCTCCTAGTTGGTTGATGTTGTGTCTTGTTACTTTGCCTTATTGTGGTATTGTGTCTTCTTTCATTGCTATTGATGTATTTGGATAAAGAGCTCATGAGAGGTTATGCTTTGATGGTTAGTTGTTGTTGTTATTGTCTCTTTGTTCTCTTAGGAATTGTTTTTCTTTGCCAAAGTTCCTTTCAGACGATTACTTTTTGTTGTTTTGTTATCTACTAGCTGTTTGTCCTTTGTTATGCTAATCATGTTTTAGGTGGTCCATTGCCTGCTATGTTGTATCTGTTGTTGGCTTGTGTTAAAAATGTTCCTTGCTTCGTTTTATTTTTATCTTTCTTTGTATATAGTGAATGTTGAGCTCTTTTTAATGCTTGTTATGAAATAGTCTTGGCCTTCCTCAATGTGCATCTTGTGTTTGATTGCTATTCAGCAATGCTACTCTGCCTTTTGCTTTTTGGTTAGGTAGGGCACCTCATCACGGATTTAGTTCCCTATTTAACTTATATCAACTACTCTTTTTGATTTGTTGGCTCTTTTTAGATGGGTTTGATGTAAATGTTTTGTTAGGGAGTCTATTCCCTTTTATATATCCCTGTAAATGATCTTGTTAGTTCTTTAGCTTTATAATTTTTTTTTATCTTTTATATATACTTATACTTTGATTAAAAAAAAAAACAACAACAATAATCATGCTCGCAACAACAACAATAACAACAGTAGTAGTAGCAGCAGCAGCAGCAGTATTAATAATAATAATGATAATAAGAATAAGAATAATAATAATAATTGTGCACTTTAATGATTAGGAAAGAGAAAAGAAAGAAAAAACACAAACAACCGAAAAATATCTTGTGAAAAGATAAGATGACCCAAGACTAAGTAGTCTTAGGTCTAACAATCATGCTATGACAAAGAGCCCAAGGTTTGATTGTCATTTTAACTCAAGAGACATGGGTTTGGTGGTCATACCAGACCCTACAGCCTTTGACCTGTAACATTGTTGTCAAATGTAAAGACCTTGGGTCTGACATATTTGTCAAACCCAAGCAAATAATAAATAAATAAAGGACAATTATGTACTTTAGTTGTTAAAAAAAAAAAACACAAACAATCAAAGAAATGTTTTACCAAAAAATAAGATGATAAATTAAAAATAAAACTATTATTACAATTCATAATAAAAAAATCTCTTAATTTACAATTATTTCCCACATTTTTTAACTTTTGTTATAATATAATTATAAACTATACTTCCTTGAATAAGAGTTTCTCCATGCTCCATCATCTTTCATTTTTTCTTTTCTAATTTAGCATTTTGTTTTTGGCCAAAAAAAATACTTATACAAATAAATTATCACTAGAAAACTAGAAAATATGTTATGTTTCATTTTGTGCGAAATTAAAGATGATCGAATGCCCTTTTCTTACGAATAATATTTATGATATAGTTAAGAATGAGTCAAACCTTACATGGATGTCTTGTATCTTGGTAAAACTAGTTTTTTTTTTTAAATATTAATATGTTATTAGTGTAAAAACAAAAAAAGCTTGGTGTCTAACCTAGAAGACCTAACAAGTGTGTGATCACCACAAAAGCTGACATTTTTGTGATTCCTTACCTAATTTGGTTTTTTTATCAATATCCTATTGAGAGAAAATACAAATAATTTTTTGACCATAAAAAAGAAGAAGAAAAGTTGAATGAATAAAAAATAAAATAAATAAATACCCATCATTCAATTTCAACATGGGCAGGCACATAATCCATAGACCGTAGACAAAAGTCAGTCCGGCGGATTAAGAAACGAATTAATAATCACAAGGGATTGAGCAAGAAAATATGTCTCTGACCTCTCGCATTCTATTTACTCCTCCCACCACCATCAAACTCTCCCCTTCCCTCCCTCCCCCTTCTGCCTTTTGTCCTCTCAAAACCCCTTCCCTCTCTTTCATTTCTCCCCATCCATCCATCCTCCGCTTCACCCATATTACAAAGTCGCCGTCCTCTCTATTCGCGAGGGTCTTTTCTTCCTTCAACCCCACTGCCACCACCACCCCCCCAACCATGGGTGACGCTCCTGATGCTGGCATGGACGCTGTCCAGAGACGCCTTATGTTCGGGGACGAGTCTGTTTCCCATTTTCCTCTCCCTTTTCTCTTATTTACATTGCTTCCGATACCTCTCTTTCTTTCTTGGTTCTTATCGTGCTACTTGCTTTAATTGCTGATCTGGGTTATGTTTTTTTTTCCCCTTTCAAAACAATTTATAAAGAAATGGGACTTTGAGGTTTTATTGGTTTGTGTATAGAGATGCATAAAGAAAATCTCTGTGTTTTTTTTCTTTTGTGCTCCTGTTTGCTAGCTTCTTGAGTTGACTTTTTAGTTGAGCGTGGGATTAAATGGGATTTAATTAATTTGTTCAATATATATAACGATTTGATGGGCTTCTTTCATTTCCTCCTGTTCTACGATCATTTTCATTAGTGAAGTCAGTTATATCCCATTTGTAAATTTTCAATATATATGTTTATTTATCAATTTTATTTTTATGTTCACTAATATGCTCAATATAATTCTAGATTATAATTAGAACTTGTAAATTGAAGGATCAGTTATGTGGGAAATATTGGTTGTCAAAACAATAGCAAGTAGCGATAATAAAGGAAAGGATATTTGATTTGAGATCTCACCTTTCTAATGTTGGGGGCTGCAAGCTTCTTGCATTAGAACATAGACTTAGTTAAAGATCTGGTTATTTTTTTTATAAAAAAGTTGCTTTCCAAACTTTTTAATTCTTGTTATTTACCACAATTGATTGCATACCTAAGCTAGTTTTGATTACCTAAGTTAGGTTTGATTATCTTTAATTAATTCTAATTGGCTGCAGATGCATTTTAGTGGATGAGAATGATCGGGTTGTTGGTCATGACTCCAAGTATAATTGTAAGTATAATTTTCGTGTTAAAACCTTCTGCAGATTTAGTATTTGGTTGTTTAATTAAATGGATTACAAATGAAATTACCTGTTGCATATCGTGTAATCTTTCCTACCATAGGCATGGGAGTAGTCTTTGAATGACAATACAAACAGCTAACTTGCAGGGTTTTTTTTTTTTTGATGGATCTATCTTAAAATGCTTGTAGACTAGATTATCTTCAGGTTGGTTTTCTCATAATTCATGTTTTTGAAATCTACAGGTCATTTGTGGGAAAATATTTTGAAGGGAAATGCCTTGCACAGAGCTTTTAGTGTGTTTCTCTTCAACTCAAAACATGAGCTACTCCTTCAGGTATGTGGCCCAGACCATGTTTCTGGAAAGCACTGGTTCGAGCCCAGTTTTTGACGAGACCTTTTTGGTTTTGAGAATATTAGTATTTCATTTTTAGAATTATAGGATCTTGCATGTTAATTGTTATGCCTAAAGATTTTGTAACCTGATATGACTTGATATGTTATTAGCTTTTTCTCACCTCAATGGAAGGGAATGGATTGTTCTTTTATTGCTTTAAGCACTTTCACACTCATAGTTAGGAAATTTCCGCAAGCTTATACCTTTTATAACCACGATCAAAAACTGTAAATGCCAAGGATACAACATTCATGACCACATGAGCGGAGCTACCCCAATACATCAACTGCCTAATCAGTAAGAGAATCCAACTAAATAACTTGCACATTGTAGAAGCTGAAAAAATTAGAAAGACTTTTGCTACGAAACTGATTTTGTGACTGGAACAACATTTTTCTTATTCACAATTATTCTGTGAAAATTTATGACTATTGAGATAACATATTTATTTTTTTGTTCTATTGATAGCAACGCTCTGCGACAAAGGTAACATTTCCCCTGGTGTGGACTAACACTTGCTGCAGCCATCCTTTATATCGTGAATCTGAGCTTATAGATGAGGATGCCCTTGGTACATATTTGTGCACTTGTCCATACTCCAGCATCATCTACTATACATGTTTCACTGGAGTGGGTAATAAGTTCTTTACCTTTTCTTCTTTGTAATTGTCAGGGGTGAGGAATGCTGCACAGAGGAAGCTTTTCGATGAGCTTGGTATTCCTGCTGAAGATGTGCCAGTTGATCAGTTCAGTCCACTGGGGCGTATATTGTACAAGGCACCTTCTGATGGAAAGTGGGGGGAGCATGAACGTAATGTTCTCTACTTGATATGGTTTACAGATGTTTGGTGTTCTCATCATATTTTTCCTGTATTTCTTGTCAATTTGCCTCATTTCCTTCTGAGTTGGGGACCATTGGTTGAAATCAAACTGTGTTTTTCTAACTAATGTTGCAGGCTTTTATTGCTTGTATTTTACAGTTTGATTTTATTGTTCATATAGAATCCTTCCAACTTCCTGTTATGATAGCATTTTACTCTTAACTGATTTGCTTAACTCTTATATCTTTCAATTTTGCAGTTGATTACCTGCTCTTCATTGTTCGTGATGTTAGCGTAAATCCAAACCCTGATGAGGTAGCTGACATCAAGTATGTTAACCAGGATGAGTTGAAGGAGCTTCTGAGAAAAGCAGATGCTGGCGAGGAAGGTTTGAAGTTGTCACCGTGGTTCAGACTAGTTGTGGACAACTTCCTGTTCAAGTGGTGGGACCATGTCGAGAAAGGAACTCTAGAGGAAGCTGCTGACATGAAAGCGATTCACAAGCTGTGACTTGAGGCCCGCTGGTCTCATCTGCAACTTTATTTCAATAAACTTGGACATGAAAAAGTTCCGAACAAGTTGGCATTCCATATTTGTTGTATGTAACCTTGCTGTTTCCTGAAACAACCTCGTTTGGCCTGGTTATATATTTCCTAAAACTTGAGTTGCGGAAATTGAAGAAATAATGAAAGACAATAAATCAACGGGCGTCTTCTGTGCTCACAAAAGCCACAAGCGGCGATATATTCTATTTTGATTGGTTTATTCATAGAAAAGATTCTATATGATCATACTTATAATGATAAATCAAATATATTATTACATAATAAATTATTTATCGTAATAAATCTTTAGATTGATTCTTGTGATGTAAAAGAGTTGAAAGTACATTTCAACGTTATTGAACACGAGCTAGTTAAAACCGGGCAAGGTATTGTTTCTTGCAAGTTTGATTTAGGAACTTGAAAAAGTAGTGGCCCTTTTCCGAGAATAGAATGTTCGGTAACGTGGTTTAAGTTATATTTTAAAAAAAATTAATTTTTTAAAATTAAAATTACTTTTGAATTGTTTTGAAGCATTAATATTAAAAATAATTTTTAAAAATAAAAAAATATATATTTCTAAATAAAATATACTTTGAACTGTTATTACAATTCCAACCTCTTCAAAGTTATGGAGCGTTATCATTCGCGAAGGGCGTGCTCCATGTTTGATATGGATTGGGGCCATGAGAGCTTCTCTTTCACAAGAATTTCCTCCAGCTCAGGCCAAGACTGTATCGTATACGCAGAAAACTGTAGGGGTGCGGAACGGGGCATATGATAAATGAATTTGGGCTCATTGTTTGCGTATAAGAAGTGTTTGAACTTGAGTCTTTAATCAGACAAGGCTTTGGGAATGTTTGAAAATGCAACAACGGTCTAAATTTTAAAGTATTTTTTATTTAAAAATATATTAAAATATTATTTTTATTTTTTAAAATTAATTTTTACATTAATATATCAAAATTTTGAAAATATATTAAAAAATTAATTTTATTTAAAATACAATTTTAATCACATTCCCTCCCCCAAAACATATCAAACTGGCAAAAAACATAAATATACAAAAAATTTTGTTAAAAACATATCAAAACAAATAAATTTTTAATTAATTTAATATTAAATAATTTAAAAAAAAAACTACCAAAAACAACCTAGAAAAACTTACTTAACACGCAGACAAGCCTAGCCTTTCACAAAACGCGTAAAAATCTCTTTGTTGAACTCTACATGTACATTTTGTGCAAGTGCCCAGGCGTCCTCATTTGGACTGGTGATTCCACCAGCGAACCTGGCCTTGGAGGAGACGCCTTTTTGTCTGGTCAGGGGGGACAAAGTGATTCGTTTGGCACGGGGTTGTGAAAATGTAAGAAGTGATTTGGCACCTTATTTTCTATTGAACGAAAAAAAAAAAAACCTTAAAGATTAAATAAAAAAATCTAGACGCATGGAGAACTTGAACTTGGACTTGATTTTAAACAAGCACATGCACTCATTTAAATATAAAATTGCACCAGCGAACATGCTCAGACTACGTGATACACGCACTATTGTATTCGTTAAACTTTATAAAATTCATCACATGTTTGTAGACTTGGTAGTTAACTGATTAGGGGATTTGATGAGTTTTTGTTTTTTTATTTTATTATTAAATATCAAATTAATTAAAATTAAAATTTTATAATTGGTTTTGTGAGGTTATCAAGATATCAAAAAAAAAAAAAACATCTTGGTATAGGGTTAGTGTTTGATTTTGTAATTATCTATTTTTTATTATATAATTAAATAAAAATAGTTTTAAAAAATATATAATTTCATTGGAGTCTATAACGCAGTACACAAATTTGGTGTGCTAGCCAACTAACTAGATTTTTTTTTTGTTCTTTAATTTTTTTATTAATTTTATCCTTTAATATTGGATTGGCAGATAAATAAATTGTATGGTTTGTTTTTGTTTACTTTCTATATAGTTATCATTATTTCAAATAAGTGTCTATTTTTAGATTGGTGGTCAATTTTATGAGCATATATTTTTTATCATATAATTAAATAAAAAAATTTATAAAAAAATTATTAAATTTAATAGAATTCATAACCCGGATCATAGGGGGATTGTGATCGATTTAATCGATCATTGTCTTGATATTTTTTTTTAAATCTAGAATTAAAATACATAATAGAAATGCAACCATATCCATATATCCTAGCAAGATAAATCAAGAATAAAAACTCAATTTTGACTCTTATAGAGAAAAGAGTAAGGAAAAAGATATGTAGGATGGATGCCTATAAAATCATGTTTTCTGAATAATATAGAGCTGATTTGAGGGAGTAAGGACGAAACAATTTTAAAAATACTTGTCTAGGATGAGGGTTTTTTTCATCAACAAAGAGGAAAGACTGGATTAACTCAAAGAAAAATAATGGTAAAAATAGTAGACTGGATGTTGGATTTTTTTGGATATCTTGATAAGAAATCAAGAAAGAAGTTGTATGTTTCTTTGATGTGTTTAACATCAAACTGATATTTACCAAACCAATATTTCTATTAAAGTAATTGCAGTTGAGAAAGAAGATTTTACTTGGTTTCAAGCATTTTTAGAAAGCTTGACTTATCCATTTCAATAAGAAAATGATGTCTTATTAAATATAATTTAAATTTCTCAATTTCTTATTTTACTGTAAGGATTTTCTTGAAAATTTAATAGTAATGAAACTCTAATTGCTTGAAGGTTTTGCTTTTATAGCCATAGATTTCTTGCTTGTCATTATTTTCTTTTAGTAGTACCACAACTTATTAATTATCACTAACATCCATCTACAAAATTATTTTGCCATCAAAAGGGATTTGTAGGAATGATAGATTTTGTGCTATCAATTGGAGTTGTTGAAGTGCTTAGGAATGAAAATTGGACCATTGCTATGATTTTTTCTTTAATAAAGAGGACAAGATATTCATGTGTTGGGAAATATAAAGAAAAAAGTTTGCTATATAGTTGATTATAACTAAGAACTACTGAACTTCTCTCTTAAATAGATAGCTAGAAGGAAAGCTGAGCGGAGCTTTTTCAATGTGTGGTTGAAGCATTATATGTTCGTCTTTAATATTGAAAACTAGAAAATCAATGAGAGATTTTCCAATCTACATCCTTCTTTATAAAAGTGATTAATACTTAAAAGTGTATTTTTATCAAGATTTTATAACAGTAGTTTGCACTGGAAGTATCAATAACTCTTTAACTAAAGCATGTTTTATAATAATAAGTCTGATACTTTAATATATCTTTAATTTATAGTAAATGTCCATCCTAAATATAAGTCTATCATATAAATCAAAGGATTGATTGATGAGTTCAACTACTGAAATTGAGAAAATAAAGAAAGGGTGAAGCTTAGAAAAGAAATACTAGTTTAGTTCAACCTAGAACACCTTTCAATTATTGGGTCATATCTAGAGTTGTAGAACTTGGATTTAGGTCAGCTTAGATAAAAAAAACTAAGATATGAGCCTAAAACATTTATGGAAATACAAGACGCAATTCTGCTATTTGGAAGTCCAAATATTAGCAATAACAGAGAAGTCTGAATCTGCCTGCAACCCAAACACTGTTTAATATTCAGCCCATATCTTAAGTTCTAGAAGTTCAAATTACCTTAATTTTTTTTTTTGGAAAGTTGAGATAATTTTCTAGAAGTTTCAGGATCAAGTTTGTTCAAATTCTGACATTAGTAATGATATTTTGTTCAAATAAGAAGATAAGAATTGTCACCAAGTCAAGATATGGCCACCCACTCAATAATTAGTCAACAAATCAATAGTTTTCAATTTTGACATATAAAATGAGGCATTTGCCATGTATTTAAGCATCTTGATTTTTAGATCAAAATCATGTTCTTACTCTCTTTTTTATATTTTTGTAATGCTTAAGTTTTACTTTCATTAATCTCTTGTTTATGTTTTTCCTTTCTTTTCCTTTACTTAGTTAACTTATATCTTATTTATGTTTTTATCTTATTTATTTATGTTTTTATCTTATTTATTTATGTTGCTCTTCTTCATTATGTTTAGTTAAGTTTATTATGTCATGGTGAAAAGGTTATAATAATAGTATAATAATAAATATAATATAAATGCAACATGGACTTTAATATTTGATACTAACATTTTTTGTATTTGTTATCTTGTTCACTTTGAATATTTTGCTTGTTAAATGGTTAATTAGATTTATGTTATATAATACTTGGTACAACAAATATTTGGCACTTTCATAACCCAACCATATGGTATAGCCTATACATATACTATGAAAGAAACTTGATTTGTTATTAACATAAGTTATAATCATGAATACCTGACAACATTCACAAGTATTAGTATTATTCGAATAAGATAACTAATGTAATCATGTTAATAATTTATAATCCGATTAGAACCTCCTTTGTATGTGGTTTCCAGTTAAGTAATAAAAAGAATTTATACTATATTTGTTTGAAATACCATTAATGGATCCTCTAACCTTGACATTTATTTTTATCATTGTTTAATCCCTACATTAATCTTACATCTCAAAGTCCTCTTTAACTTATTATTATTATTATTATTATTTATAATTTATATAGTTAACTTCTTTAGGGTTCAATCTCGGTCTTGCTGAGCTATTTATTACTTCGACACTCCTACATTTGGAAGAAGACATCAATCTTTTGATCGTGTCAAAAAGTATGATACCATATTTTTTAACAATAGTAAGAAATTGATGTAAAAGTTCAACATGCTTTTCTAGATATGATGAAAATAATAGGATGTCATTTATATATATGATAATAGAGTGGAGTATTGACTAAGATATATTTACTGTTGTTTTTTGAGACTCCAAATGGCATGACTGACTAATGATAATGGCCATTAGGTGTACAGAAGGTGGTTGTGTGCCACTTATTTGCTTAGATGGCAAGTTGCTTGAAACCTAATTTAAGATCAAACTTCGAAAATATGGTTGTTTGTAGTAGTTTTTATAAAAGGAATTATTTTATTGGAAGAGAAGATTTGAGATCTAAAAAAAAACATTGAAAAACTTATATTCAATAACAAGTCTAGGCTTTCCCCTAAATTCTTATGCTCTGTTATTGACATAAAATGCTTGGCATGCTTATTGAGAATTGATATCTTTAATGATTCC